TGCGCCAACAAAATAGAGCCCGCCCAAACACAAACAAACCCCCCATTGTCCAAACACTCCCAACCAACCAATCCCACGCGCCAGCCCTCCCTCCCCCCCTTCGCGTGCAGCCTGCCTAAATACCTACCAGACGTTTGTTCCCCATCCTAACGCAACAGCCTTACCGTTTTCCCTTTGCGTATCCTCATCATTGACGATAGCTACGGCGTTATCCTCTAGTCTGCCCCCCCCGCCGCCTCGCACACACCACATCGCAGTCAAACGGCGCGACTCCCAGTGACACAACTTGTCAGCCACGGACGCTTTCTCAACGCACGCGACAGCATCCGATAATCCGTCCAAAATGTCTACACCGGTATGAGGTCCTCACACCAAGAGGGGTTGTGGGAGATGCACCCTCGTCACTGCTAGGACGCCCCTTTTGCTAACATTCACCTCGTTCGCAGCCCGTCGCCTTTAACCGCCTGAAGCAGATTGCCACCGATGTACGCTCGAATTTACCTGCCATGGCTCGCGATGGAGGTCCCCAACAGACCGGAAAGTGCGCCTGCTAACTCGCGCGACAGGTGTGCAATAGCTCTATTGGCAATGCCGAGTTTTATGACCACGCCAAGACGGAGCAATGGAACTCCAACATAATTGTAAGAAGGCCACATATAAAAGACTTTTGTCGACCGACCTCGGAATGCATTGTCCGTGTCTGTTACTTTTCTTTTCTTTCTTGCTAAAAATGTGCAAACAGAACTCGATGCTCAAGGCCGTCATCTCGGAATCAACCCCCCAGGGCGCCGGCGCCCCTTCGTTCAAGTTTGCCTGCAACAGCACGATTGTTCAGCACCTGGTGCCGACGTCGTCGCTCAGTAAAGCGCGGGCGGGCGCCGACAGCAAGGACGCGCAGCAGCCGCACATTTCGACAAGCAGCGAGACGACGGCGACGGCGACGGACGGCAAGCCGCACGTGGGCCGCCGGGGGATGCACAGCGCGACGGGCGCGTACTGGGACGAGAAGAAGGACGGCATGTGGACATTCAAGTACGACGGTGGCGAGGGCAAGGGCATGGATGTGGTGATTATGCTCATTTGGGTTGCGATCTAAAGAAACGAAGACTCGGTGATGGTGGTGTTTTTATTTCGAAACCACCGACTGGCTGCATTTGAGTATTGAATCTGGGATCTTTTCTTGTTGTTCTCTTTCTCGCTTGGACATGGCAAGGAGTAGACAGGCTGTTGGTTTGGTCCACAAAGTATACCAATTCCTAATCTTCAAATGTCTTTTACAACTATTGTGATTTCCCATGTGGCGCACGAGAGCATGAATAGCAGTGTACAGTCGTGACCCGTTGACCTAGGACACGCTTGGGTTCTAAGTTGCTAGTTACTATTGACATGCTGTTGAAATGGACACTGTGACGTGCCGGCGTATGATACGTGGCATTTGGACGGCGGAGCACAAAGGTTGGCATTGGGCAGCTAGCTCGGGCTATTCTCGCGAGATGAAGCCACCTCGACCAGCGGACAACTTTGCTGTCTGCCCCAGTCACTACAGGATTGACTACGTAGACAGTGGAGATTTGCATCCTGCCATTGCCGATGCGGCTGGATAGTGATAATAGTGACGGCTAGTGAATGGTTAGGAAGCGCAGTGTGAGGGGTCTCAGGTTGGCAGGTCCGTGTATGGAGAAGAGGGACCCTTTTTTGTAGCCATGACATCAAAAGCGCCGTTTAGCATGGTGCTAAATGGGGTCGACGGGAGTTAATGTCCAAGATCAAGTTTGGAAAGCGGAGATGACAAAGGAACTGATGGATTACAAAAGGAACCTTGAAGGAGGTGTCGAGCACTGAGTCGGAGTTTTATGGGATGACGTATGCGTAGACTTGTGCTTGTGCTTGTGCTTGGGTGGGATGGCTGGTCACGCGCGGCTGCGTGGCAGCATGTCTGTCTCGAACAAGCACCCAAGCTAACCAAGAATTAGGTGGGCAAACGGACAACCCAGGGTCTCGGAACTTGAGCCTCAAAAACGTGGCATCAAGCACCTTCTTACACATACAAAACCCACGCAGACAACGCTGTGTTCTTTTCATCTTCAATCCCGGCCGTGTTTTTTTCGTAAAAGGTTCTTTGGACCCCGAAAAGATTCTTTTGGATCGACCGGGAGGAAGAGAGGGATCCAAGAGCCGTGGGACGAATGAGAAGAGAGATCATGACGCAAAAGCTGGGGCTGCTGGCTTGACACTCCACTTGCAGTCCACGCAACGATCTTGAGCAACTCGGCCATGTACCTTAGCATCGCGGTGAGGGGAAAATGCGATTTGGTGAGGTTGCAGTGGGTCAGGTACATAGGTAGGTACTAATACTAACTAATGCTGATAACTGGATGTCGCAAACGAAAACTGTGCTCTTTAAATGCATCAGTTTGAGGAGCTCAAGATGAAGAGGAGAGCGAGACACAAAAAAAAAAAAATACAACATGTCCTTGACTAAAAGTGAGGCGGTGGCTAAAATGCACTACTGCACGATTTTATTCCTGCAACGAGACGCAGACTGTGAGGTACTAAAATTGGCATCTCTCTGGGCGGTGTCGCCGTGCTGGAGACACAACCTCTCCACCCATCCACACCTTTTGTCGCCTCGCGCCTCGGTCCCAGTCCGCCGTCTTTTCCGTCTGGGTACCTGGAAAAACAAGGGAAAAGAGAAAAAAAATCCAGGGTCCGCGTTTCTCGCCTCCCGTTGCATTTCTCTCCGAACCCTGCTTCCGTTTTATAAACAGAAAAGTCTTGAAAAGCTTCTTGACCGCTTCCCGTTTCCTCCCCGGCCCATACGTTATCGTCATCTCATCACACAAAAGGGTCCTCGGCCAGGACCCCATCGTGACCAAACTCTCTGATTGCCACATTTTCTTTTCTTTCGACAAGGCATTGTACGACTCGAGGCGGACTAGCTGGACAAGTTTCGTTGTCTCACCACCACCCGCCCAAACCCCGGTTTCTGCTCAACCGCACTCCCACGAACGACCAAAAGTGGCCTTTGTTCGCGTCGCCCGACAATACAACGACGCCCACATCATATAAACCACTTGGCCAGCCTGACAACGAAAACTCGCCCTCTTTTATCTGACCCCGCACCATACATTGCTCCTTCACCCTCCCCTGGCCATCCATCAACAAACACAACCGCCGCCATGGTCCAGTGGCTCGCCAACCCCTCGACGCACGCCCAGCGCACCACCACCACCCCCCGCGATGCTCTCCTCCCCAAGCGTCCCGCCCGCCGCGGCTACTCCGTCACCGACTTCCAGGGCGATGCCGTCCCTTTTGATATCCTCGCCGCCCTGCAAGCCGTCTCCCTCGGCACCACCACCACGCCCACCACGCCCTCACCGTCTTCCTCCTCCTCCTCCTCCTCGTCGTCCGCCGCCGCGCACGTCCCCACCGAGGCCAGCATCCCCGAAAACGCCGTCCTGCTCACCGCCTCCTCCACCGCCGCGTCGTCGTCGGTGGCGGCGCGGAGGCCAGAGTTGAAAAAGAAGAAGCCCCCGCGGCGATCTTACTCGGCGACGGACAAGGAGCCTGAAGACGCCGTGCTCGCACCCAACCAGCCTCGGCCGTCGCCGCACGCCGTGCCCGGCGTCGTCGGACTGCTGGACCTCCCGCCCGAGCTACACTACGCGCTGCTCGACTTCCTCGACCCCATCGACGCCGTGTGCCTCGGGCTCGCCCACCGCCAGCTGTACACGATTCACCGCCGCAAAAACAGCCGCGTCCCGCTGAGCAGCCGCTACGACGGGCCCAACGATTTGGAGTGGGTGTGGCGCGGCGTCCGGCATCACCTGAATCAACGCGGCAGCAGCAGCAGCAGCCGCCATCGTGCCCCGGAAGAGAAGAAGACGTCGTCGTTGTCGTCGTCGTCGTTGTCGTCGTCGTCGTCGTCGTCGTCGTCGCGAGATGATGAACCCCCTGCCGCATCCGCCACCGCGGCGCCGCTCGACAAGCTCCGCGTCAAGGGCCAGGTGTACTGCCGCAAGTGCGGCATCGCTCGCTGCGAGCTCCACCGCCACATTAGGAGCTGGATGGGCGACGGCTACCAGTACTGCGAGATTACGGAGCGCTTCGGCCGACCGGCGCCCGACGGCGCAAAATCGTACTGCTTCATGAGCTCGCCAAGGGACAGGCGCCGCTGCGGCAGGCACAGCAGCGCGGTCAAGGGCAGCAGCGGCAGTCCGTCAACAACGCCCGCGACGACACCGCCCGCGGCGGACGCGCCTACAACGACGACGCTGTGGGCGTGAATGTTTTGGCACCCGTTTGGGCGTTTGAGCGGAGAATATGTGGTGTACATTTCTCATGATGTTGCTGGGCGTTTTTTTGAAAGGAGTCTTTTTTTTTCTTTTTTTGGAATCAAGGCGTTGGGGGTGTGTTTTTCCTTTTCTTCTTTTTCTTTTTGCTTTTTTCTGAATCCAAAGGGAAAACAAGGCTGCATTAGGATGAGTTAACCTGTGGCATTTACACAAACAACACAATGGCGCTACTATATAATAGAACGACACCCTTTTTGTAGACGACGAGACAAAATTTTTTTTACAAAAGAAGAGTCATCAAATATATCTTGAAAAAACATCAAGTACTTTGCGCGACCAAATACATTCGTTGTTGGAAACATCGTTATCAAGTTCCCGTGTTCTTTGTGAGCGATGTGGACAAACTACGCAACCCGTTCGCATATGCATGCAGCCACCACCACCACCACCACCATCTCGGAAAAAAAAAAAAAAAAAAAGCAAGGTCCCTCCATTATCCCTTGTCATGGCTGTCCATCTTTATATATAGCAGAAACATGCACCACATTCCCGCGTCTGTGGACCGTGTGCCGGTGAGCTGCAGCTAGGTTGAAATGAAGACACCATCACGTCACGCACACAGGAACAAGGGGTGAGAAGCAGTGGTGGTGGGTAGAGTCTACTGCTTAGTATTGAATAAGGCAACGGCTTTCATCTGAAAACACATCCGGTATGGTGTAGTGGCTAACATCGCTCGCTCTCAACAACTTGACGATCCGAGCAGCCCAGGGTTCGATTCCCTGTACCGGAGTAGCGATTTCCTTTTTGCCATGAAACTTGTTCATGTCATAATCGCTTTTTAGTCAATCTGTCCGTCGTCTTTGATTCCGTCTTTTTTTCGCTAATCACTCTTCTTTTGTTTTTCAGGAGTGACACGGTTTTACAAACCGTGGACAGCCAAAAGTTTGAAACTGAAGAAATGTATGTATATACATGCAATAACCCAGGTCGACGCCGGCTTTCCATTCTAGTCCAAAACCCTAATCCAAAACGCCATACTAATGATGATACACAGTTGCACATGTACATGCTTGCACCCCTTTCCTTGCTCATCCCAATTTCTCGCTGGCCTTGAATATACCACCAGCCTTGACTATACCATCTTTGACAATGCCGGCCTTGGTCTCGCCAGCTTTTGTCTCGCCAGCTTTTGTCTCGCCAGCCTTTGTCTCGCCAGCCTTTGGCTCCCCCAACGTCAACCCAAACTGCTTGAGCATTTCCTCCTTGGTCTTTTGCTCCTGCTCCATTTGCTTTTTGCGCCTTTCCACCTCTTCCGGGCACCATTTCCCAACGCACGTGGGTGTCACCCAGTCGGTACCATCCGGACACTGGCCGTGGTCCTTGATCCAGCGGTCAATGCCCTCGACGAACCAGCCGCTCGTCGCGTCGGGCTCCTTCTTGGCGCCGCCGACGGGATACCCCAGGCGGAAGCTGTCGCTCGTGCAGCATTTCCCTTCGCGATAGCGCCAGCTGAAGCAGTGTCGCTCCTTGGTGATGGGTCTGCTGGCCGTCTGTCGGCGGTAGCGCTGCCGCAGGTACCAGTCGCGCTCGTCGTCCGTCTTGAGTTTCTCGTAGGCCTCGGCGTCGACGTCGAGGCCCTCGGCGAGGCAGACGCGCGAGCAGGCCTCGACCGACTTGTGCGCGTGCTTCTCAATGACATTGCGCCCGTCCTCGGGTTTGGCGAGACAGCGCTGTTCGGCCAGGTTGTTCCACTTGGGCCGCCGCGGCACCATGTTGGGCGCGACAAAGGCCTGGTAAATGTCGCGCAGCTGCAGCGGATCTGTCTTGGTGCGCGTCTGCTCGTACTGCCAGACGGCGCTAATCTCCTCCGAGTTCATGTGGTGGAGTGTAAAGAGCGGCTGGCACCAGTCCCGGGGGCTAAACGGGAGCGTGTTGGGCTTTTCGCCGTTGAACATGGGTGAGGCGCGGAGGACCGACACGGCAAGCTTGTCAATGACGTCGGCCAGCAGGGCATCGCCGCAGCAGGTGCGCATGGCCATTTCGTTGATTTGCTTTGCTGGAATCTCTTTGATGTGGGCTACTAGCCTCTCGAGCAGGACGCCAGAGATGGCATAGCCAGTTCCTCCGTGAGCAAAGGGAAGATTATTTAAGAATGCAATGCCGCCAACATAGACGTCGTCGGTGGCATTCATTCGCGTGTTGAGCCAATCGACGAGGTTGGACCAGACAACGTAGGTATCGGCCTCGACAAAGACATACCACTTGATGCCGGGGCGCATCTCCCAGGTGCGCAGCATCATGTTGAGAAACTTGTACTTGTCGAGGTCCCAGCCTCCAGGCATGCCGCTGGTGCATTCTTTTTGGGAAATGGGACAGTCTTGCTGGGCCTGGTAGAGGAGAAACTCGGAGCGGTCGCTGCTGAGGATGTCTTGGACGCGGTCGAGGACGTTGTAAATGTGATATCTGCCAATTTGTTGTTCCTGATTCGTTAGCCTTGATTGTCAGCAGCAAGAGCTGGCTGTGGAGTGACAGCATACCAAGTCGGAAAAGAGCAAAAAGTCGGGGAGACATTGCAAGCTCGTGAGCAGCTGGGTGGGCATCTTGTCAAACGACTCGGTGGCGCCCGTCTTCATGACGGGCATAATGCCGTCTAGACTGGGGAAGCCGTGGCAGGGCTGACTGAAGTTCCAGTGCGGATGGACGGCGGCCTCGGTGCCATTCTGGTAGAGAGTGTTGTTGTAGACGCCGTGCTCAAAGTAGTTTGCAATGTGGTCGTAGATGTAGTGCGGGTAGTAGCTGGCGTCTGGCAGCCGCGAGAGGCGGTAAAAGGAAAAGAAGAAGCATGTGCCGATGAAGGAGAGGATGATGGTCCGGAGGCTGCGCGGCGGAAACGCATGCGCCAAGAGGCGCGTGGGCTCGTGGGCTCCCATGTCTTTCAGACCCGCGGGCTGGTGATGGTGCAAATGGTGATGGACGTGGTTATAGCATGAAGCGACAAAGGAGAAGCGTAATCAGGAAACCAAAAAAAAAAAGAAAAAAAAAAAAACCAAGAAAAAGAGGGCAAGAATCAAGACTGTAGGGGAACCAGGGAATCGAATGATATTTTCGTCTCGGGATCTCAGGAGAGAATGCACGTGGGGGACTGCTGTTGGCGGTTTTGCCTTTTTTTCCGAATCGATGAAACTCGAGTCAGGCTTGGCGCACGTTGGCACGTTGATCAGTGAGGAGCCGGGACGACCAAGACGGTTTTCCCGGCGACCACCCAAGTTTTTGTTTTTCGTTACCGGGGTAAAGAGACGGAAAAAATGGTGAATACAAGATACAACAAGAATGAGGCACCAAGAATGAGGCACCAAGAATGACGGAATTGTATTCGGCGAGGAAGGAGCCAAGAGTGTGAGAAACAGAGCAAGTCGTGGACGTGGGCAGGACAATGGATACACGGGCGTTTATCAATGTTGGAGAAGGAAATGTGCCACTCAATATTCGAGGTTGAAAAGGAAAAATAAAAAATATAAAATATAAATATAAAGGAAAATAAAAACTATGGAGAAATTCGCGCACGAGTACGTGTACACATGGCAAAAATAAATGATCCGTTGTTGATGAGCATGGACAAGCAGGCAAAGCAGCCAAAGAGATCAGCTATCTGCCAGAGTTCTAACTATCCGTATGTACGTAGTGGTAGTTAATCCCGCCAAGCCACGGAGGGGCAAGGGGGGTGTGTGCGGGCAGGCGGATCACGATAGCACGGGCTTGCACGAGCTTGACCCCAGAATAGCTAGAAAAAGAGGAAAAAAGAGAGGGGGGAGGGTTCGTGGCGAAGTGGCCGGATGTGGTTGGTCGATGGGGTTGGAATGTGTGTGACAAGGTCAAAATCAAAAGATGGAAGACGAAATACGGATTAAATGAGGGGAAAAGGATGAGCGGCATGCTAGCCGATTCCATTCTGTCAGGGGCATTTGGTGCATTTTACTGGTATTTATTTAGCATGCCCCGAGCGAAGACAACAATTGGCAACAACGGGATAAAGGGGAATAAAGGACGGGTAACTAAATAGTTCTGGATCAAGGATATGGGGGGAAAAGAGGGGAGAGGGGGGGGGGGCATGACAATCAACAAGGTTAAATCAAGGCAAAGAAAGGTCCTTGGACAAGATGAAGATTTGTTGAATCAGAATAGTGGGTTTTGCATGTAGAGCACAGCTACGCAGGGGCTTGCAAGTTTATTTGCTTAACATTTATAAATGCCTAAATTTATTAAAAGACTTTTCAAGTGAAGAATTATCGAAATAGAAACCCCATGTCCCCTGACGTTTTGAACGGTTAAGCCGGCAACTCTCTAATCCGTACACGCCATGCCATGCCCAGTGGCACGCCGGACCCGACCCCCTTGGAAAGAAAAAAAAAAGTAGAAGAAAAAAAAAAAAAAAAAAAAAAAAAAAAAAAGCCACGGCGTATAATAGTGCAAACCATAAAACAGACGAGAAATACTTCAAGATGACTAAAATAGAAAGTAACCAGTTCCGGGGTGTGGGCGCTGCGAAGCCGCCAATCACAAGTGGGCAGAAAAGGAAAGGCGCCATGGATGACGACGCTGCGCACCCAAGTTTCATTGTGCAACGTGTTTAACAACGGGCACAATAAAAGACAACCAGCATTGATATGTACTCTGCCAGCCGCATCCATCTTTTTCATTGGCATTTCATGTATTTACTCACGTGCACCTCGCAATCTGCATCAATCAACTAGTCGTTCGCCCCGAATCGGACGGATCTGCCCATTCATCTTTTCCGTGTCCATCTTCCCGTCAAGGGCGGGGGGAAGTGTGCAGACAGACTATTTGCCGGTTTCTCCGGCCGGTCCCCCAACTAGTTGGTTATCAAGGTACCTTGGTAAATAGTTAGCTCTTACTAAATACTCGGTACAACCAAACTCTGCTCCGTCGAGCATCAAGACCTCGAGGGTTATGGGACATACCACATATTTAATTCAGAGTGCGTCTTTCAGTGTCTGCCAGCCCTTGCAAGGAACTCGTCTCTTTGTTAGGTAGTTTTGCCCGCTAGTGAATACAGAGGTTATCCGTACACACCTGCACCCAAAAACGCTGGGCAGGAATTCCACGCCGCGGCGCCGCGGCAACTGGGCACAACTAGCTCGTCCAATGTCTCACTACTGCTCTCCAACGCCCATTCATTCATTACGCACCAACTTCTGCGTGTTATATCCGTAATCCGTCAGCTGTCTCGCTATTTCGTATGCTTCCAAACAAAGAACTCATAAATGGGAAAAAAAAAAAACAGTCAACGAAATAATTCTAGCAGCCGTACGCCTGATATACATGTTGCTTGAACAAACCAGTCTAGACCGTTCTGTGTGACCCTATTCAACGTGAAATGTCGAGCTTACACCCTCAAAAGCCGTAATCTTGCCCCCAAACGCCTTGGCATCTCCAAAGTACCTCAACCTATACTCGCCGTCCTCTGCCCACTCCTCCACCTCCCACTCCAGCGTCACCTCGCTCGTGCCACGTAGGGCCGACAGTCGCTTCCAGCGAAACGCGAGCGCCCAGTCCGAGTCGTCGCGTACCGTCATCCACTCGGCCCCGGCCCCGGCCCCGGCCCCCGCAGTCCTGCGCTCGACAGCCGCGTACGTCTGCTCCAGACGTAGGTTGTTACGCGGGTTGGCGCCGACGAAACGCGCCGTCACCGTCTCGCCCCGGCGGAACCGCGTCTTGCCCACGTCTTTGCTGACGCTGCCGTACGGGCCCAACCACGTCCGGTCGTACACG